CCCCGGTGCTTAGCACTCCAGGAAGGCTGCAACAGGGACCCGCGCACAAGGTCGTAGCAGCGACACAACGCGTCGTCGCCGCCGACGGCGAGCACGGCACCGTTGCGGTCGACGCTCACTGCGCGCGCCGTCGCGCCGCACTCGCCAACGGCGCAGGGCGCGCCGCGGCCGACGTGGTGGAGCCGCAGCGTCGCGTCGAAGCCCCCAAAGGCCAAAACCTCGTCGTCGCCACAGAGCGCGACCGCACGGACCCGGTCGTCCGCATGCGCCTCGTAGCGGAGTGCGGCCGTGGTCACGTCGCAGAGCTTGACCTCCTTGGACGCGCCGCCGAAGAGCACAGACTTACCCGAGCGCGACAGGGCCACGCTGTAGAGCGCCTCGCCCGCGTCGCGCCGGAAGACGACGCAGCGGCTGTCGAAGTCGTAGACGACAATGAGCTCACGCGCGCATGCCGCGACGCGCCGCGTGGAGCCCGACAACGAGACGCAGTTGACCGTGTGGTCGAAGCGCATGGACCAGATTCGCGTCGCGTGGCGCGACGTGCGCGACGAAGTCGATGTGGCGGGCTCGACGATCTCGCGTGGCGAACCATCGGCCGAGGACTTCAGCCGGCCCGCGACGTCGTAGCGCCAGACCTCGGCCCGGCCGGACTCGCCGCCGAAGGCGACGTACTTGTGCGTCTCGACGGTCCGCGAGCTGCAGCGAAATCTAACCCAGACGGGCATGCGGTCCCGCTCGCCGAGCGACCCCTTGGCGTGCGGGTCTGCGTCACTCTCCACGCGGATCGTCCGGTTCCTCTTCCAGCGCCGCGACGCGAGGCATTTAATCCTGGGCATCGATGTCGTGCCGAGCGTCTTGGGCTCGGATGGCTCGCAGCGGCCGCGATTTTGCGGCAGCGTATCGTTGCCGCTTCGCACACGTGCGGCAGCGAAGCCGCGCGGTGCCCTGACCTTGTCGCCCGCAGCGCGGCGCATGTCGACGTAGCGGCGCTCGGGGTCCGTGAGGATGTCGCACCGGTCCACGTCGGCGACGACGGCGCCGCCGTCGAGCTCGACGGCGTATGTGCGGCCGTCGCCGCGCACCGCGTGGCGGAGGCCCCGGAGGTGGCGCGCACACGACCGCGCGGCCCGGAGGAACCGGACACATTTGCTCAGCGCAAGGCCCCAGGAGACGTAGGGTGGATGGCGCACGAAGACGGCGGCGAGGCCCAGGAGCACGACGGTGCCGTCGGCGACGCAGATCGGGTCGCGCGCGAAGCGCCACAGCGAGTGGTTGACCTCGACGTGGCAGATACCTCTAATCACTAGCTCCAGGAGGAAGAAGAAGGTCACCCAGAGGTCCACCGCGGCATACTGGGCCGTACTGAGCGTGCCCCGGTCCCGCATCGCCGCACAGGTGATGCAGCCGAGTGCCAAAGCCGCATTGACACCCAGCAGCCGCTTCTTGTCAAGGCTTTCGTGCACAGAGACGGCGCGCGTCCGCGAGCTCTCGCCTTCAAAAATGCGCAGGGCGGCGTCCTCGTGGACGTAGGCGCCGTCCTTCTCGCCGACAGGCCGGCGTGAATCCTCACCGTCGCCGTTTTCGCCAATCTCGAGGGCGCGATGCGTCTTGGCCCGGCAGAGCATCGACTGCTGCCGCGTGATCGCATTGTCACACTCGGGCCACTCTGCGGCGTCCTCCGCATCGCAGCTCGGTACGGAGAAGTGCACGTCGGGCCCGCCGTCGGCGCGGACGATCACGTGCTTATCTGCGGCGCCGAGCGCGACGCCCCAGGCCGTGCCCGACGCCTCGAAGCGGTAGAGCTCCGTGCGCGTGGCAACGGCATAAATGACGACCGCATCGCCCGCAGCGACAGCGAGCTCGCCCGCGCGCTCGAAGATCGCAAGCGCGTTGACGTCGCGGCCCGCCTGCCAAGTCGTGTCGAGGGACGCCGCCGCGTCGCCGTTGCCGTCGAGGTCCTCGACGTAGTCGAGGTGGCCCGGCGCGAAGCAGCCGACGGCGAGGTCGCGCGCGCCGAGTGCGACGGCGCCGACCTGCTTCGGGAAGCGGCGCTCGTAGAGCTTCGCATCGCGGTGCGCGTCCCAGACGACGCAGTAGAAGTCCATGCCGCCGCAAGCCACGCGCGACCCGTCAGGAGAGAGCGCAACCGTCGTCACCGTCGACGAGCGACGGAGCTCGAGGCGACCCGGCGAGGCGCCTGCCGCCGTGCCGCGCGTGGCCTCGCCCGGGTCGAGGAAGCGCGTGAGGTCGAAGAGCCGGATGTGGTCCAGCGAGTTGTCGAGCAGGTCGTAGAGCGCCTCGATCTCGCTATCAAGGAGCCGGACGCGGAGCAGGTCGCCTATGCGGCGCATTTCATAATTCCGTAGGCTCAGGACGAGGCTACGTCGACACATAGGTGCCCATATAGACTCATCAAAGGCGTTGCCTACATAGGCTCCAGAGGCTCGAGCCGAGGCTACGTAGCCTCGTATGCGCCAACGCACCGACACTGCAGCTCGCCAAAGATCCGCGCGATCTCGCAAAACTGGACAAGGCCGTCGTCGTTATTATCGAAGCGTGTCATGCGCACAACTACGAGGCCCGATGACAGCATGACGTTTCGCAGAAGGCAGGCGATGTCGACCTGTTCGTAGGACGTCCGCCCAGCCCACGCGCCGTCGTTGCCTGCCGCAAGGAGCGACGACGCCGCGGGCGGCGCCGGTGCCACAAGCACCACGGGCGCCGTGGTCGCGTCCTCCCGGTCAGCGCGCTGCGTCAGCGCATTCTCACCCTGGGGGGATGCCGCTGGTGGCGCCGCCGCCAAGAGCGCCACGGACGCCGCTGTCACGTCCTCCCGGTCGGCGCGCTGCGTCAGCGCATTATTGGGGGAAGCCGCGGGTGGCGCCGCGTCTGCGGCCGTGACCGCCACGAGCAGCGCGAGGATGTTGTGGTCCCGCCGCGCGATGGCGTCCCGCAATGCGCGCGCGTCGTCGGCGGTGAGCGCGTCGCGCCCGAGCTGCTGCTTCAGCGCCGTTGACAGCGCGGCGCAGACAATCGTTGCGATGGGCTCGTAGCGGTCCGCGCGGTGCTCCGCGCCGTCGAGGGCATGCCCGAGGGGAAGTGGCGAGGAATGCGGCGGGAGCACAGTCGACCGGGTCATGGGGGTCCCATCGCTCGTGCAGGGATCTGAGCCGCTCCGCGACCGGGTCTCATTCGCCGATTGAGTTGGCTTTATCGCCTTGCGCATTTTTATCACAGAGCAAATTTGTCGCCGAACTCTCTCTCTTTCTAGCGCATTAGGCGACGCCCCCGCCTACGCGCCTGCCTCTCGAGATCTCTACGCGCTTACTCGGGCGCGGGCACTGGGGCCCACTAAAGCCGCACCGGGCCCCGGAGGGGCTCCTCTTGAGGGGCCGGGATCGTCCCTGTACATACCAGGGGCACCAGACGTCCCTGGCGCGGGGCTTGGCTCCTGGCGCAGCCCACGGAGCTTGGCTCTCAGTCGGGAACGCTATGCACTCGGAGGCCGCGAGGTCCAGACGGGGGAGCTGGACTCGGGCATCTTGCCCTCAACTCCTACCTCAACCTCGGATGGCCTCCGGCCACCTCACCATCGACCTCTACACTCAAGGGCAGCCTCCCGGCTGCCTGCCCTTAGGTCCCCGGCTCACCCCCGCCTCGCCCTGGGAAGTTCCAGAGTGCTTGCGGAGTGCTTGCGGGACGAAAGCCATGAACCCCACAGAAAAGAGTGCCAATTAAATTCGACGGCCTATCCCACGCGACCAAACGCGTCGGTCTGACTGAGGGGCGGGCCAAACAAAAGTCAAGTTGTATTATCCGAACCCCCCCCATGCGGGATTTGGCTCGGCGCGTCTTACGCCGGCCCTCCGAGCCAGCTTGGCCGGCTCGTCGGGCGGCTCGGCCTCGGCTCCGGCGTCGGCGCTTGGCGCCCACGCGGGCCGTTGCGCGAGGTGACCCTGGCTTGGCGCGTGCCGCCGGCGCATCTCACGCCGGCCCTCCGAGCCAGCTTGGCGGGCTCGTCGGGCGGCTCGGTCTCGGCTCCGGCGCCGTCGCTTGGCGCCGACGCCGGCCGTCGCGCGCGGTGCATCGGGCTTGGCCCGTGCCACCGGCGCTGGCTCGAGAGCCCGCCGCACGCGTCGCGTCGGTCCGGCTTGGCCGGTCCGCTGCAGGTGCGCTCCGAGCGGCGGCTCTCCTCGCGCCGCGGCGCTTCCTCGGCGCCGGCGCCTCAGTCGTCGCCTCGGGCGTCCTCGTCGAGCTTCGCCCGCGACCACTTAGAGCGAGCCAAGCTAATGCGCTAGAGAGACGCGTCGCCTGATGCGCCAGAGAGAGAGAGAGCGCGCCCGCCCATGGTAGGCGCGTAGGCGGCGTGCGTCGCCTAATGCGCGAGAGAGAGAGGATAGCCGCTACTATTGTAGTAGGGAGCACTTCGGTCAGGGCAAGACACCGAAAACCGTGAAAAACCGGCGACGGTACGGTTCCGGTAAGCCCCCCGTCGATGCGGTGACGGTTGCGGTACGGCGACGGTTTTTACACGGTTATTGAGGCTCTGGGGCGTTTCCGGTTACGGTGAGGCCTCAGGGCGGCCCGGTGGAGGCCGGTGGAGGTCACGGGGCTCAAAATAGGCGTTATTTGGGGGATTTTCGTGATGGGACTGGGCTAAATAGCGTTCGCAACAAGAATCGGCGCTCTGAAGTCGCACAACGCCGCTGGGTAGGCGTGGAGGGCCTGAAAGCAGTCATCAGCACCGTACCACGCGACGGTAAAGCCTTGAACCGGCTCCGGTCCGGTTTCGGTAAGGCGTTGAAAATCCCGGTTACGGTTCCGGTTCCGGTTTTTCACGGTTACGCCCCCAAATCCCCGGTGACGGTGACGGTGGTCTGTACCGCCATTGCGTAACCTCGATAGTTCACCCTCGGGCGGCAGGGCAGCCCCATCAGGCTGCTTCCCCGTCCCGGGGTTTACTATCCCGCTAGATTCAATAGGCGCATTTCCCCGAGGCCTCATTCATACTTGAGATAAACCTGCTGGTTGGATCCTCGCCCAGCTGTTGACAAATCGGTGTTGTCCACGTTTCCCACGGCACCTAGGCTCAATTTAAGCGCATACTTGATGCAGTCCATATTGTCTTGTTGGGAAACGCTCCCGATGCAGTTGGCGAGGAGAGTGCCACCACCAGCTTGGCCGGAAAGGTAAGGGGGGACCATGTTAAAAGTCGCAAGCACCGCAGGGACATCAGTTGGCAATGTGGAAAGACATTGAGCCTTCTCAAGCCAATCAGGGTGCATACGATGGATACAGCCGATGCTACATTCTTCAACGCCCGAGTTGGACGCACATAGGTCCTCTCCAGTCGCACCAAGGCCTGCGGTGCTGCAGTCAGATTCGGTCAGGAAAGATGCTCCCATGGAGCTCAGTGCGAGGACATTGTGGGTCAATAGGTCAGATGTGAAGGTGGACCTGCGCATTAGGAAGGCGCCCATGTTTAGGCTCGCGGCAAAGAGAGCCACGTCTCCACATGGTGCTACAATTCCAGTTGCATGAGCCTCTTTCTCTGTATCTTCCTGCGCGTTAGAGACTATGGACCCGTCGACGAACCAGATGACGTCTGAGATCGCATCTCCGGTGGGCAGGAGCGCTGCGTCACTTCCGATGAGGTCCTCGATCCTAACAGACGTGTCGATAACAACCGAATCTACATCAGTGAGCAGCATCCAATCACAGCCTTGCTCTGCGAGAGCATATCTCATTGCACAAAACTTGGCACCTGTGATCGGATCTGCGAGGCGTGCCTCTGCGGCGATTGATGGGCAGTACTTGATCAACAGGCACTCGTAATCTTGTGCGCCGATAGGAACAAATGTGTACCGATTCTGCCTTGCGTATTCACGTTTATTGCTTGCTGTCGCTGTGCCCAGCTCAAGGTACCTATTGCAGTACGATATCTTCCAGCTCAATTGCAAATGGTAGGATGGGGACTCGGACCTCTCCCCATAGGCCACGTGACCAAGGCAGAAATGATTTCCATGTCCATCTCTGTCGATGTTAGACACAGTCTGTCCTGCACTGCTTTTCGCGTGGCGTCCACTAGTCACGGTCGCGTGGGCGCAAAGGATTACAGTACCGCCCCACAAGACGGAGAGAATCGCAATGGTCGCATACTGCACGAAGAACGGGGAATATGCGTTTCTCACATTCGAAGAAGACGGTGGCTTATCTACTCTCATCATCTGAATTGAGGAAAAGCTGCGCGGTATGAAACGGAAGCGCCATCGCCTAGACGTCAGTGACCAATCGTCGCACATCGACCGATTTGCACGTCCAAGCATAATATTATGATACCAGATATATAATGATATAGTTGGATTGGGAGCTGGGTGTGCCTTCAACATGGGTTCCACCCGGGGCCCAGCTCGGGGACTAGCGTAGTCTAGGACCCCCCAGGAAAAGCATAGGGCCGGCTGGATAGGAGAAGATTTTCCTGGGGTGCGCTCCAGGCGTACAATAATAGAGAGGATGTCAGCGACAGGCGATAACTCGTACTCGAGTATATCTTCTGTCTCTCTCCCCTGTATCCTGAATATCCTGGCTGATATATCCTAGCGGCTATATCACCTGCACACATTAAGGAATGATACATAGAGAGAGAGAGAGAGAGAGAGAGAGAGAGAGAGAGAGAGAGAGAGAGAGAGAGAGAGAGAGAGAGAGAGAACGATATGATAAACGGCGACTATCGTGGCCAGAAGGCGAGTGCGATTAAGGTCCCGTCTTTAATTTTCCATGAGCATGAGGCGTGAAGGCGAGTAGGTGGGAGAGGGGGGTGCGGGCACCCAGGGACTCATCGCATTCAAAACCTCTAGTTCTGGTTCGCTGAAAAGCGATTTTGTATGGATAATGCGCATCCAACACAGCACACCTGGGCATTCTGGGAGCATCGGACCTCCGAGAAAAAAACCATGACCAAGCAAGAATGGGCCAACCTGCAAAAAAAATTATTCAGCTTCAGCACAGTCGAAGAGTTTTGGAACAACTATGTACACATACCTCCACCGTCCGATGTGTTTTACGATGGAAAGGCGCGGAAGCGCGTCGGAGTGCCGCCACAAGATCGATTCATTGAGTCATTTTCGATATTCAAAGAAGGCATAGCACCCGAATGGGAGGATTCTGCAAACATCAATGGTGGTGAATGGAATCTTCGCAAGAGTGGTCGGGGGAATGAGGGGGATATGATCGATGAATGGTGGCAAAATCTCGTTCTGGGTCTAATAGGTGAGACAATCGATACTGAAGATCACATCTGCGGTGCACGCGTCGTTGATAAATCTGGTGGAAAGGGTTCCCATCCGGTGTATCGCATTGAGCTCTGGCTTAGGACCAAAGATGTTGGAATCACCGAGGGCATGAAGACGCGTATGATCGATATTATGACAGACAGTCGGGCACCGCGGACCTTATCAGACCAGTTCCAATGGAAAATGCATGGAGTTTGATATGATGTTTAGAAAATTATGCATGCCAGCCCTGGGTTCGATTGCGCTGTTCCACCCCTTTAATGACACAGAGTATCTGACTGCCACCCTGGGTATAGGGCGGGGCACAGCTGGGAGGCGGACGGGACGGCGTGGCTTATCAGCAGATATGCGCCTCTGGGAGTAGACTTGCGACAGGTTGCTGTTGGCGTCCTCACGGTGGAGATCTTAACTGCCCCCGTTTTCATCTACATTGCACGCGTAAACAACACATAGCAATACATACGCACGCACGCACGCACGCACGCACGCATGCACACAGCACACACATACATTCACGCATGGCGCGCTTACACACACGCACCAATCCTGCAGTCTTCAATTGGAGACGGTCGCAGATCGCAAAAAAGAAAAACCGAATATTTGATGCCGTCAACGCCCCGGCTGCACGCTGGTCGTGGTGAATGTGTACGTCAAGAAGGGAGGGGAGCCCCCCCGACCACAGCCCCAAGGCACATAAGTCCCCTGGGTGGCGCCCAACACTCCCAGCCCCGCGTTGCCTAGCCCAGTGGAAGGAGCGTGCACAGGGAGGAGTACCCCCCACGAGTGACTTTGCACTAAGCCTCATAAAGCGGCGAACGTGAGGAGCGGGGCCCTCTACAGAATAAAATTTGGCTTATAATGCAGGGCCTCAGAATCTAGCACAGTTGGAAAGTGTACACGATCTAGTGTAAGGCACTGGCACTACACCAGGCTTGTGGCAACGTTCGTAATAAAGTGGCTCTTGCCAGACGACATGTGGTCTGTGTTATAGTATAGGAATTGCGGATCACCACTGGGGATGGCTGGGGTAGTACTAGTAGCACGACCACATACTAGTAGTGGTTGAGATCGGGATTTAATGGATCGACTCGGAGCCGGGAGGCCGCAGAGGGGTCGGGGCACCCCCCAATCCCGGTGTATGGCGGCAATTCCCCATACCGGCGGTATATGCCGGCATATACCCGTCCTGCCTCAAGGCCTCCTCAACAGTGTCGCCATCCAAGAACTTGAAAAAGCCTGCATTTGCTAGCGATAAAAAAATTGCGTAGATCGCCGGAGAAGCATGTTAGGTGGGTCTACGGTGCCGTTTCATTCTGCTTCGCTGTACGTCGGTGATCTCGCCACAGATGCCTCTGAGGTGCGATATATCTATCTTAAAGCTTCAATAACTCCGGTTCGAAATATTCAGGGACTGCTATTCGAAATATTCAATACAGTCGGTCCAGTTGCATCGATCCGCGTATGCCGAGATGCCGTGACGCGACGGAGCCTCGGTTATGCCTATGTCAACTTCCACAACGTCTCTGACGCGGAACGGGCGTTGGATACAATGAATTACACATTGATTAAGTCAAAACCCTGCCGGATCATGTGGTCACAGCGGGACCCAACGTTGCGCAAGTCTGGTGTTGGCAATGTCTTCGTCAAAAATTTGGATGCCTCCATCGATCACAAAGCTTTATTTGATACGTTCTCGCTCTTCGGTAACATCCTTTCCTGTAAGGTGGCAACGGACGAGGCAGGACGTTCGCAGGGATATGGTTATGTTCACTATGAATCAGAAGATGCTGCAACAGACGCCATAAACAAAATAAATTCGATGACTATCTGCGACAAGGAGGTATATGTCGGCCACTTTGTAAGACGCACAGAACGATCCGGGCAATCAGACTGGACAAACCTCTATGTGAAGAACTTTCCTGCTGACTGGGATGAAGAAACGCTTCGCAAGGCTTTCGAGACGTTCGGTGCCATAACTTCATGCAAGGTACAACCACCTTCAAAGGCTCCAGCAGTAGTCAAGCCTGCTACAGATCTTGCCCTCAATGCTGAGGCACGAGCTGCAGCACGCGAGGCAGCCGAACAGGCAAAGCGTGCTGCTCTTGACGCCGGTGATGAGGCTGCAGTCGCAGCCGCAGAAGAAGCACTAGCAGCAGTCTGTGGTGAGGAGGCAGACGCCGCAGAGGCAGCGGCCGCTGCTGATGGTTCTGCTTTTGGTTGGGTTAACTTCGAGGCTCATGACGCTGCAGTTGCTGCCATGGATGCACTAAACGGTATTGCAGAGCTTCCAGGACAGGCCGGTGGCGCACCGACGACCCTGAAAGCGCCGCTCTTTGTGGGGCGTGCCCAAAAGAAGATTGAACGCGAGCGTGAGCTCAAAGCCAAGTTTGATGCAGCAAAAATCGAACGCATCAAGAAATATCAAGGCGTGAACCTTTTCGTCAAGAACCTTGATGATGGACTGGATGATGATCAATTGCGAGAAAACTTTGCTGAATATGGTACCATTACCTCTGCACGGGTCATGCGCGAGCCAGCCACTGGTACCTCTCGTGGCTTTGGATTTGTCTGTTTTTCTTCTCCTGAAGAAGCAGCCAAGGCTGTCACAGAGATGAACAATAAGCTTGTCCTTGGTAAGCCAATTTTTGTTGCTCTTGCACAGCGAAAAGAGGTGCGTCGTGCACAGCTAGAAGCGCAACACGCACAGCGTCGCACAACAGCTCCTTATGGAGCACATCCTGGTGCTATGGGCCCTGCCGGCGTGCCACCACACGCTCCTCAGGGTCTTCATCCAGCACACCTCGGTGCACCATACGGCACTGCTATGCCTATCATGTATGCAGCTGGAGCACCTAATGGCCACCCCATGGGCATGACTCCCCAGGGTCATCCTGGAGTGCCTATCGCTGGTGTACCGCCAAATGCTCGTGGCTATGTCATGGCCCGTGGTTCACCTCGCGGACCAATGACGGACCCACGCGCTGGCTTCGGGCATGGTGGTGCACCACGCCAAGGGGGCTACCCAATGCACCCAGGGCAGATGCAGCAAATGAGTAGTCAGGGGGGGTCGAATCGCCGTTCACGTAACCGTGGTGGTCAAGGCGGTCAGGGTCAGGGTGCGCAACAATACAAGTACACCCAAAATGCGCGCAATGCTGCAAACATGCCGCCTAGTATTCCACAGCTTCCTCCACAGGCGCACCTTATGCCTGCTACAGTCGGCCAGCAGCCTGGTCAGGGGTTCCCTGGTGGCCCTGGTGTCGCACCACCGATGCCTCCCTTGCCCCTGCAGCAGCCGCCACCAGCAGGCGCAAATCAACCACGTCGCACTCCTGAAGACCCGTAACGCTT